GAACACAACAAACACTAATAAACAGCAAAACAAAACAATGAACCAACAGAATAGGAGTATAGATAACTTTAACTGTCATGAAATATAAGATCAGGTTTTCCCTGAGACAGTTCTAATTATGAGGTGATAAATGCCCGTTTTCAGGAAACATGTTCAACAAACTCAATGGCAAATCTGAGTTTTCAAGTCCCAAACAGCTGATCAGACGAAGTTCAACTGAGTGTACTCTGAGTTAAGTGTAGGGCTGTTCGATATAATGATATACATCGGATGATATGAAAACGTCTATGGTTTCATATTACGCTATCGCTTGTTTTGCAAAATAAACTGTTTATGATCAATTTTTTTCATCATTTTGAAGCCACTGTTTTTACGCGTTGCGTTAGCAACAATGACGGTAAACCCAGCGTGTGGCTCCGACATCCGCTTGTTTATTTCCCACATAAACCTTTCACAATAAAACTAAAGATCTTGTTGAGATTTTTCAAAATGAACTGAAATTATGAGAAACAGAAAGATCAGTCAGAACAAATCCAGCACCTTATTTCTAAATGAGGCATGTAGCCTGGTTATGAAAAGTCTGACACGGACCAGAAAACTGTACCATGCAAATTATGCAGGAAACCGGTTCCCACCTCAGACTCAACCATGGAAAAGCTTGTCAACTACCAATGCAAGAATCATGTGAAAGAGTATGAAGAGAGTTTAGAAATGAGAAGCAAAAAAGAGCCGTCAGGTGCTCAAAACAGGGTTCAGACACCTGTCTCAGGGTCAAATTCAAGCATTCTCAAGGATTTCAAGCACCTGTACGAACCCTGACAAAATAAACCTTAGACTCAAACGTTAGAACAGGCCTTTACCTTTTTTTTCTTCTTTAAAGCCACCTACTATCTGTCACATTGGAAAATCATAAATAAAGTTGTCCAAAAAAAGAACAGGCTTTTCCCAGCAGCACGCTATGTAGCAAATATTAAAAAAAGAAAATAGCGGCCGTTACAAATTATATAGTTTAATTCATCTGTCAAAACACTCAGCATAAGTTACACAATGCCCAGCTGAAAACACACGAGTTGCCCAAGATTCACATAATTTATAGAAAATGTAAATTTTGTGATATATATCGTTGTCGGGACGATAAATGTCTTATATCGGGATCTGAGATTTTGGTCATATCGCACAGCCCTAGTTAAGTGTGTGGTTGAGTAAAGAAAGGAAGCCAACATGATATCGGAGCCTTCATTTTAATCCAATGAACAGAAGAACAAAGTGCTGACAATTTTGAAAAAGAAAAAAGAAATAGGGGGTAAGTCACAGTGTCCCACATTTTCTAAGCATGAAACTTTAACCAGTATGAATTCTCATCATGTGCGTCTTTAAGTTTGCGTTCCGATTGAACTTTTTTCCACAGCTGTTACAGCAATATGGTTTCTCACCTGTGTGAATTACTGAGTGACAGTCCAGTGCTGTTTTATCTGCAAATCGTTTCTCACAGTTAATACAAACATACGGCTTCTCCCCTGTGTGACGTCTTATGTGAGTTTTCAATCCTGTTTTCTGATTGAATCGTTTCCCACAGATGCTACAAGAATACGGTTTCTCACCCGTGTGAAGTCTCATATGTGTAGGCATGTAGGCTTTAGAGTGCATTTTTTTCCCACAGATGCTACAAGAATACATCTTCTGACCTAGATAACTTGTTAAATGACGATCCAATGCAGATTTCTGATCAAATTTTTTCCCACACGTGCTACAAGAATACATTTTCTCACTAGCGTGAATTTCTAAATGTGCAGCAAGGCAGGATATAAACTCGAAGGTTTTTCCACAAGTTTCACATTTTAGGGACATTTTCCTTTCAGTTTTACTTTGACTCTCTTTGCCTACTCTTTTACTGTAACGTCTCCTTTTCTCCAGCTCTTCATTTCTAGTTGATCCTGAGTCCACATGCTGGCTTTCTTTCTGATCTCGGCTCTCTGGTTCAGGAGAGCTGTGAGAAAGGAGGTGCTCACTGTTTGGTTCTGGCTCACTGTGGGAACTTTCCTCATAAGATTGAGTCACCACGAAGGTATCAGCCTCCTGCTTCAGTCCAAGCTGCTCTCCCTCCTGACTGCTGCAGAGCTCCTCCTGTTCCTCCTTAATCTGTGGAGGCTCTGGGTCCTCCTTGTCCAGGCTGGAGTTTCTCTCTTGGGTACAGACTTGCTGGTCTGCAAGAACCTCCTCCTCACAGACATCCTCCTGTAGGAAGTCTGAAGAGACAAATAGAGGAAAAACAAACTTTTGAGGAAATATAAGATAATGCAAGAAGGTATACATACACACAACAGTGATAAAAAAAACAAAGGCATGAGTAAGACTGACACTGTCAAAGAGAGTACAAAAACAATGCTCTGTTTTCCATCTAGCTTCACCTTCCAGACCTCCTGCCTCCATCATCCCTGGATCACCCAGGATGGACTCACTGCTCTTGCTCATGCCATCAGGATATTCACCCGGACCTCTCTGACCACAGTTTTAAATGTTAAATTTTTTTAACTGCTGTCCAACATTAATTTGTAAATGATTTACTAGCAATCTTGTCAAAACAAAGTTCTTTACCTGGAGCACAGTTCTACAAGAAAGGAAGTGGGGAGAGGGGACACTTGGGCAGTACATTTATCACGGCATATAATGTCCGTATCAGAGCACTGGCTATGAATTTCAGACGGATCAGGCCTTAACTTAGCAAAAAAGTTATCAATTGTTCTTTTCATCTTTTCTCATTACCCACAGCTACATCCACTTCTGTTAGGCCTAGGCTACTCACTAGGGCTGTGTATCGTCACTGATTTCTATAATCCATTTCTCTTTCATTTCTGATCATGTGAGACTTTGTCAGAGGTGTGAGCATCACAGCAGATGCCTTTGTGTCAAAGGCTGATTCTGATGTGTAAGTGGGTCTGCGCTCTGTGTTTACGTCTTTGTGCAGAATCAGTGCGCCTGCTTTCATTTACTGATTCAGCTGTTTGGTTTAACCAGCTTTAACCTGAGATTCTGCCGTTTTTGCCTAAATACATTTATACTTGATTCAGGATTTAGTTAATCGATATGCTTTTATTCACTTTCAAACACACACGTGAAGGACTACAGGAATATCTGTACCACGGCCAATCAGAGAGGTCCCACGGTTTAGACCACGATATGGGCATAATGTGTGTCTGTTGTTGACCACACGGAGACTTTCACAGTTGCTGAGACTTTTTTTCTTTTGTACTGAACAGCTGGTTGCACCGGTGCGACCTAGGATTTTTTTTAAGTCACACCATTGAGAAATTTGGTCGCACTCTAGAGCCCTGGTTTTACATACCTATTCTGTGTAACTTTATCACAGGTTTGCAGATGGTCTCCAGCAGTGTGAGTTGCTCTTCATCAGTCCAGACAATAATGCCTTCAGCCTCCTGCTTCAGTCCAAGCTGCTCTCCCTCCTGACTGCTACAGAGCTCCTCCTGTTCCTCTTTAATCTGTGGAGGCTCTGGGTCCTCCTGGTCCAGACTGGAGTTCCTCTCCTGGTTACAGACCTGCTGCTCATCCAGACCCTCCTCTTCCTCACAGTCATGATGATGTGGGAGGTCTTGAGGTAC